CGAGAATTTGAATAGTTTTGAGCAGAGTTTGGCGCATGTGCAACTAGGCAACGAACAACGCTGTACCAGTCGGTGATGGGCAAAACCCTAGACTTTGAATAAATCTGAAGTTTGCCGATGTGTTTCTCTCGTTTCCTTCGTTGGAAAATGTTTAACAGAAGAAACGAGACAAACATATCGGCAAACTTCAGATTTATTTGAAACCTAAGGTTTTACCCATCACTGCTTTTAAGTACCTACTGATTCGCGCGCTAAGGTGTTTGGGAGGTTATCGCTTAACACTTTATTTACCGGAAGCCTATTTTTCGGCTTTTTAATTGCAGTATTTAGCTATTCGAATTTATTTACTGTGTTGATGGTTGTCTACGAACAATGTTCAGTGTTTGGAAACAGACTTGGTTTTCAATGTATCCAGTAACAGTATGGAGGAATTATTGTTAGCGTAGATTGGCATATGATACTGTAGCAAATTCTTTTTTGAATTAAAGTCTGTTTCTAGATAGCCCGGTAGATAAAGTGTTAACAAATTTTTAAATAGTAATGGTTAGTAAGGGAATCCACGATGAAAATGTGATACTTGCCCGAGAAGCCAATTCAGGGGGGAATCCTACTTACAATTAGGACAGTTCGAAAGAGGTACATATTTCATCACTTTTTTGAACAAACGGAAAATTTTCTGGTAATAAGTTTAAAGGCTGTTGGCAGAACGGTTTTTAGTGCGTGTGTCGTAATTTTTGTAATTAAAAATATCTTAAATTAACAAAGTTGTAAGAGTCAACGGCGATGTTGTCTTTTACATGATCATTCTGTGGTAACCACTTTACCTCTGAGGTGGATTATTTGAAATTGAAAAATCAACCATTTTTTAGCAATACATTAAATTGTCCAAGTGTCATCGAGCTATATTTTTGATAAAAATGATTTTACGCAAATTAACAGCGATTCAAATTTACATCTACGATTTTTAGCTCTAAAAAGCGACCATTTTTACGCATAAAAGAAAACGAACGAAAGACAAAAAAAAGCTCCATAGTACTTACATAATTTAGTATATTATTGAAAAATAATTGTGGTTTGAATCTGAGATAATTCATTGTGAGATAGAGTGGTCATTGTGAAATACTCGTGTAAAAAAACTACAACGTCATAACTTTGTTAATTTAAGATATTTTTAAATACGAAAATTGCTATACATGCACTAAGGAACGTTTTTTCAAATATCCTAAATCTTATTATCAGAAAATTATTCGTTTGTTCTCAACAAATGTACAAACATTCACCTTTTTTGTTCTATGTCGAGTGAAACTTGATAAAAATGTACTAAAGTCGGAAAATCCAGACCGCAAAGACTTAACCAGACGCCATCCCAAGGGAGGTGAAGAGAGATGCAGTCATATAGTATAATCGGATAATTTAGAAATTTACAGAGCCGTATTACAGTAATTTTAACGTTCAAGCGACAATTTTTACCTTGGATTTCAGAAATGAAATTAACTTTCACACTCTACCTGCATTATTTTTATAATGAAAAAGTATGACTTCTTAAGCTCGAGATAAAAATCACGACTTATCCTGATTTTCCGGAAATTGCTGGTCCTTCATTATGTCACTTAAAAATGACGACTTACTGCGATTCGGAGACCCAGCAAAACTCCGAGTTGACTTCAACGACAATTGCGGAAAAAGTAGGAAGCTCTGGAACACGGATAGATATATCCTTGTCTCTCTAATGATGCTGTGACAGAGAAGGAGATACAACAAACGGAGGAGAGACAAACACAGAATGATGTCAAACATTTGTAATTTTCCAAACAGTTATTTACATTTTATGAAGCGAGGAAGCGATCTTTCTGGCTGATTTTTTTTTTTTGAACTTTTTCTTGTAAAATTTCGCTGTGGGCGATACTGCCAGATTTTGCAATTTGCTTTTGAAACGTGCTAAAAATACGTTCAAAGGCAAAAAATTTTTTTTTAAATTTTCTCCAAAAAACGCTTCATGAAACGATAGATTTACTTCCCCTGATTACGAAATGCATAATTATTATATATTTTTTCATTATTGTGCGTGAAAAACGGGAAAAACTGTCTAGTAGTTCACCTACTCTCCGTTGGTGGCGCCAGTTTATCTCCTGCGCACCCTTATGGTAATTGCAATCTTTAAACGGTGTGTTTAAATTAATATGTGGGTACTAATTTCTTCGATCATGTTTTTTTTGGTAGCCACACTTGTCGTTAACAGTTCCCCTAACGAATAAATTTTTTTAAATAATTCATAACGTACTCATAACGTAAGCTTACGTTACCAACAAGCGGGTTGTATAATTTAACATTTTAAAGTAAATATTCGTAGTCACATAAATTATATTGCTTGATGTAAAAAAATGACTGGAATACCATATCGCTATTAAGCATTATTATTCCTTAATTATTGATAAACGTTTCGACAAAACGTGATTATGATCATCAGGAACAATGTGAACTTTTTAATCTACAACACAATGCAAACAATTTCTTTTAGAAATATGAGAAAAATAAATGTAAAATTATTTAATTTCGTAGTTATTTTTATTTTAATAACATTACTTCCGTATACGTATCAAATTGACATAATTTTAATTTTAATAACTAGTAACTACCTTCCTCTCTGTCTCTCTCTCTCTCTCTCTCTCTCTCTCTCTCTCTCTCTCTCTCTCTCCCTCTCTCTGTTTTTTATATACCTTGTACGCTTTTCAATATTTTTGTACATTAATCTGTTATATTTCACATTCATTCTGTCTGTTCAAGCCTTAAAAAAATTTTGTCCTATCGTAAATTAATAATTTTCATTACTAAAGAGGATCATAAATATTATTTAGTCGAAACGTTCGTTACCAAGTAGAATTAATTTACATTGTTTCCAAATATGTAATATTTTATTCGCATTTAGCCATAGACATGAAAATATAGACCAAGCCTTTGTACGAGGGGTAATTGATAATCCGTGATCCTCACTCTGTTTTTTCTAAAAATTGAAACTAATATTAACCATTTTGCAACACTATTTTGATTATTTAATATATTCTTGTTATTATTATGTGTTGAGGTTCAGCGACGAAAGGAAAATAATACGTGCGCAGTTATTTATGTCTCGTAAATAATATAAAGAAAAATATATTCAGTTTGTGGTTAATTTAACACACTAAAGTAACACTCGGTATCTGCGATTATTATGGACGATATCCTTAGATTATTACATAAAATTCTCGAACCACGTTTTACAGTTTTACGCTTAGCACGTTCGTTCATTCCGACATTCTAACAGGGTCTGCCCCGGACACATTCGCACTCGCACACACTCTGTTGTTTTTCAGTGTTGCCACCTTTGCTAATAAAAGCAATACCAAACTCTGAAATTATTTCTCTAACATTGTGCACATACAAGAATATATTAAATAACCAAAATAGTGTTCCAGAATGGTTAATATTAGTTTCAATTTTCAAAAAACAAAACAGATTGAAAATCACTGATTGTAATATGCAACTACGAAAAGCCGAACATACCCGAGCGATTACGAAAATAGTCGAAGTCGGATACGTTCAGTTGCCCCTCGTACAAAGACTCGGTCTATACAGGGTGTCCCAAAAATGTTGTAACACATTGAAAGAGGTGGTTCGGGAGGTGATTTGAAACAACTTTTTCCTTAGCGAAAATATTGTCCGAGGCTTCGTTGAGGAGATATTAACGGTAAACACTGACCAATCAGAGCGCGAGTATGCCGATGGAGCGCCCGCGGTAGCGTATGAGCGCGGCCGCCTATCGCGTAGCCTACGCTCAACCGTCATACTCGCACTCTGATTGGTCAGGGTTTTCTGTTAATATCTCTTTAACGAAGCGACGGACAACATTTTCGCTAAGGAAAAAGTTGTTTTAAATCACCTCCTGAACCACGCCTTTCAAGGTGTTACAACATTTTTGGGACACCCTGTATATTTTCATATGTATATGCATTTAGCGTCTGATCGCCATACCGAGTAGTCGATTCTTTTATTTTCCTCAGGGTAGTGTAATATCAATTTCGTAATAAATTCGTATACTTTGTTTGCTTGAAATAATTGCACACGGAAACTGGCTATCGTGCTAATTAAGGGTTAGATGTTACTCTAAACGTGTATACCGAGCGTTAATTGCCAATACGACCGACGCGACGTTCACTTTCCGACACTTGTCTGACTCGATCGGCCGTTGCACGGTATCGCGATGGCACCGCTCGCTTTTGTAAGATGATAGCTGCGGATAGGTGTCAGGGCGTTCACTGAAACGTGGAGAGTGACACTCTAACCCGAAAAGATGAGTCGATAAACGAGAAACACGAGTCATGAATTTCAATCAATCGAACATTGCGAAATTCTGCTAGGTCATTGGTCGATCTTACTTTCTCTACATCTTATCCGCTCGATTTTCACTTGTGAGTCCAAAGGTTTGTTTGTGTCTTTATTTTATAAGGTTACGTAATCTGCTTTACAGTGATTATTGTACCTAGTGGTTCAGTCTTGTTACAATTGTAATTAATTCACCAGTCACGCACATATGTGTTTTTTTTTCATATCACATTTACGTTGTTTTACCACATTAAACCTTAACTTCTTACATTACCATGCTTTACTTTACAGTAAAATTTTATGTAGGTATATGAATCTGTCGGTGGACAAACAGTTCAAATAATTGAAGTCCACACATTATACTACTTATAACATTTCGCTCAGATAAATGCGTTTAATCATACTTTTAGCTAATTTTGTTTATTATAGCACTATTTGAATCTTTATGAACTAGGAAATGACTTGCAAGGATAATGTGATAAAACTTGGTAAATAAATTGTTCGTTTGATTAAAGGTTAAAGATAATATCTCTGTAAATATTATAATATGAACTTCACTTTCAGTATTCTCATTTTCTTACATACTGCGTGCATTTTGAAGTTCCTTGGACCTTCCCCATAAATGTATAAAAATCCGTAGTCTAGCTACACTGCGTATCAATATATATGAACACTTGAATTTCTGAGGTTTCAGTGCCTTAAAACAGTTTTCCATATAAACCAATTATATTACGATATTCAGCGTGTCAAAAAATCATTGAACACCTATTATATTTCAATACGGGAATAGCCAAAAGTCGATTTTTATACTGTATCATGAAAAAACGAACATTTATTAAAACAAGAATTTTATTAAATTTCATATTAACTTCATTTCATTTCATTGAAGTTTACCTTGTTCAAACTCAGAAAGATTAGCTCCAAGTGGAGGTAATTTCATCTGTATTGTATATTTTGCAAAAAACTAAAGTGCAATAGCAAATAAGGGAAGCGAATAGTCAGTAGCTCCCCAGCTAAGCACTATAAACTCAATAAACAAACAAACAATACAGTATAAGGAAACAATTTCGAAAAAGAGTACAAAACATGAATCAAGAACACTAATAATATCAAGAATAATAGGCTTATCATTAAGAATATACACAATTGCTTTTCAGAAGTTTGTAAATAATTAGTAGCGGTTGAACAAATGCATTTAACATTACTTAATATTATGGGAAAGTCTTGTTTCAAGTCTGTTTCCAAAAACTGAACATTGTAAATAGACAACAATCAACACAGTAAATAAATTCGAATAACTAAATACTGCAATTAAAAAGCCTATAAATAGGCTCCTGGTAAATAAAGTGTTAATATTATGGGAAAGTCTTGTTTCAATGTTCCATACTATTCCAAAAAAAGATTCCAGAAAATCGGCTACACTTTAGTCGTTTAAATAAGGACACCACCCCCTTAAATAATGAATTCAATCTGTGCATTCGTCCTTGTCTCTAGGGAAGGATCTACTCTCCCACCATTTGGAAAAACACGCTCCGTATAAACTGGGTTTTGGTTAGAACATTCGAGGGCGGGATCTGCATGCATATCGAATACCTGCGAAAGATCGTCGGCTTCCTGGCTGGAGGAGAAGGGAGAGGAAATCTACCGGTTATTCGAGACTTACCGCTGCCTCGAACTGCACGCTCCGCTTCGACCAGTCGCGACAAGCAAAGAAGGAGCGAACGCGTGTAGCAATTCGAGATTGCAAAACTGTCGAGGTCGCTACGGTTCTCCTCGCCCGTTTCCAATACAGCCGCCAGTATTCGTCCTGCTTCGCGATCCTTTCTCGAAAAATCCCCGTTTCCTGTCCGAAAGGGAGAAGTCACCTTGGACGCGTGACAACAAATCATAGCTATATTTCAATTTTTTTTCGAAAAGAATTGACTCAATGGAAAATCTGTTTGCTAGCGTTCACCGTACATATATCGAGTAATGCAAAAGTAACTTGTATTAAGATTTTAAAAATATAATAGCGAAAAAATGTAATAATTGGAGCCATTATGTGACAAGTCTTTTTTGAATGACTTTCTAATCGGCAGAGCACGGATCTCGGGAATGGTTAGACATCAAATGAAAAAAGAAGTATTTTCATTTTCCAAATGACATATAGGGGAGAGTGGGGCAATAAGTTACCCAAGTGATGACACAGTTGTAGCAAAGGTTACGGGATTACATAATCAGTACGACGTTTTACTTTTACTTACAGTTTAATGATGTACGAAAATATTGAAAAGCATGTTACATAGAAGAGACTACTGGTATACAGGGTGTCCCATAAATGTTGTAACACATTGAAAGAGGTGGTTCGGGAGGTGATTTGAAACAACTTTTTCCTTAGCGAAAATGTTGTCCGAGGCTTCGTTGTGGAGATATTAACGGAAAACACTGACCAATCAGAGCGCGAGTATGCCGATGGAGCGCCAGCAGTAGGCGTGGCTATGCGCTAGGCGGCCACGCTCATACGCTATCGCGGCCGCTCCATCGGTATACTCGCGCTCTGATTGGTCAGTGTTTTCCATTACTATCTCCTCACCGAAGCCTCGGACAATATTTTTACTAAGGAAAAAGTTGTTTCAAATCACCTCCCGAACCACTCCTCTCAACGACTTCCAACATTTTTGGACACCCTGTATATCGCGAGATGGCGCACGCACGCTGCCAACCGGAAATACTTTAACAAAATTTTGCGAAGTTATCCCCTATATTATGATACTTAAGTTGTATTAGCATAAATCAATTTGAGCTACAGGGTGTCCAAATATTCACGTATAAAGTGTAACGCGTTCAATATCTTTCGCTTGCTTGACATATTTTATGTTATTTAACCAAAATCCGACTCGAAACTATTAATAATAGTGAAAGAACTGTATTTAACAATTTAAAAATTACAGGTTTATGTAATAATAATAGAAGTAAGCCAAAAACACTTTAACATAAAAACATGTAGCATACATAAAGGTATCATTTTATTTAAGAGTACTTTGTTTGACATATCATTTTCTTTTAGAACTAAAATTTTATTCAAGTCTGTTATTAACTGTAAAAAAAAATATGTTTGTTATTCATTAATGGTGACACACAAGATATAAAAATAGGAATAGGTTATTAAGAGTTTAAAATAAAAACACATACGTAGTATGGTTCACTCTTCCATGTGATAGTAATTAAACATCGAACAAGTGCGGTCGACTTTTTATGACCATGCGTAAACAGGTTTTCCATATTTCGAATTCACAAAAATCGATTTTTGATCGCCGAAAGTCGTTTTGTCCCGCTGTGCGTCGTAGTAATTGGGACACGAAATTTATACTAACCTGTCCTGTTCCATACAAATCGTCGCTTTCACAACGTAGAAAAGTCATGATTCGTATAAGGTCTGCACAGACTCGAAAATACGAATCTCTTCTGTTTTTTATAAGGGGTCTTTCTGGCGCGACGACCGAAAACATAAGCATACTTTAGAAACTCTTTGGGAAGTCTATAAAATAAAGAATAATTCCAATGTTTCTTTCTTCTGCTAATAATACTACTCAGAAATAGTATAAAAATATTTTTGTATGAACTTTGAACAAATTATTTAATGATTGTGATTACAAAAAGATTCAAGTAGTTTATTAAATGATATAAGTGTAGTTATCGTGTAAAGCAGGATAAATCGTGTCAGTGACAAAATAAAAAAAGGAATATGATGTTTGTTTAAACTTAAGTACCCAGATATTCTTGAAGAAAAAAAATTTTTTCAAAATCGATTATATCAAAGTTAAAAATGAAAATACTCCTTTAAGGGAGGATATCACATTAGGTGATCAAATATTAAGGGTTCTTTCACGATTTTTGTTTAACAAAGAAAAATTTTCTTAATTTTACAATCAATGTATTGAGAATTAAGAATATATTCTTAATAAAAGTTATGAGTTACCAAAGGAAATATTATACCAGCTTGCAAGAAAATATGTCTCATGCTAAAGTGGACCTAAGGGGGAAACCACATACGAAAGTCAAATATTAAGCGTTTCTCAAATGCTTTTTTTAGAGAGAAGAATTTATTTAATTGTTTCTTTGACTTTCAGAATATTTTAAATACATTTTAAGGTACATTTCGTAATTTTTTCAATTAATTGCACACAGAAACCTTTGACATCCGCTTGAGATAAAAATCTCAAGAAACACATAATATTTTCCTCCTAATGCAGTTTTTCCCCTTAACCGTTAAGTCTTCCGTGTCACGTGTACTACAATTTATGGTACACATTAAACTTGACCTTCAGGCCACGTATACCATTAACAGGTATATTTATATACACATAGAAGCATATTTATTTGATGCACTGAAAACATATATTTTATGACAAATTTAATTTTGTAAAATATATTTCCACCAAAAAATGAAGCATTATTAAAAATGCAGAATAGAAGCAAACAAGCTAATTACTTATGGATTGATGCTAGAATGAAATATTGTGTGATAATATATCAATCTTTAATCAAAACATTAAATAGCCTGAACGAAAGGAATGTACGTGTTAACGAATGCAAAGGGAAGACAGTTTATGGCGAATAAGAGAGAGACGCGAAACGACGATGAAAGTGAAAAAACCGTTGGACGGTACGAGGAAGGTCAACGGTTAACCTTTCGAGCCGAGATATGTCGGCTGATCTTTCTTTCATCGCCCTTCCCTTCTTAACCATCGTAATACCAGGGAGGTGGTCTCTGTGTCTATCAATTATAGGCAAAATGTTATTCGATTAATAGATGATAAATGAAAATACCGTGCTTTTTATCTGATGGAGAAAAACTCGATTTTTAAAAAATTGTATTTTTAGAAACTTTAGAATCTTTAAATATATCGTGCAAAAGGATGTTTCTAAATTCGAAAAATTTACGGAATTACAGAGGCTTTTGTTAAACAGTACACGGAGCTATTTTGAGTCGTACGTCGTCAAATATGTCAATTATGTCATCAACACAAATATGTATTTAAAGTTGCTCTCGATTTGGATCTCTTCAATGGCTGACCTTTCTTTCATCGACCTTCCCTTCTTAACCATCATAATACCAGGGAAGTGGTTTCTGTGTCTATCAAATATGGGCAAAATGTTATTCGATTAGATGTGTTGTAATTATAAACTTATCGCAAAGGATACAGAAAACTCTTTCCAAATCAGAAATCACGTACGTTACAAATTGACTTTATTTCTCTCGATTCTTATTCTTACTCTTGTTCTTATTCTTATTCTGCCGTTGCTCAGCATTTCGCTTGTTTATATACACACTTTCTCCCTCTCTGTCGTCCGCACTCGTCTCATTCACTCAACTTCACATTCGTACAATATAGGAATGGCGTAAAAAATCACTAACAGTGATTTGTCACGGTGATCATACAATCACGATCGCAGTCGTGATTAAACTTCGATCACAACCGTGATCTGGAAGATGGCGTTTCAGAAGCGGTTCATATTAATTGTATCGTTAGTGTCTCGCTGTCTCCCCTTAGCGGAAATTCAAGAAACTACAAATGAGTCAAATTTAAATTGTATTAAAATTATATTGACATTGCTTTTAGACCATATTATAAAACATATATAATCTAAGAACAACATAATTCATGAAAAGTGAAAAGAATGTTCTCTACGAATCAGAAGCGATCACGAAGATTCACGAATCACTGTGAAAAATCATCATGATTGAGAATGAATGTGATTAAATCACGAGTGATTCAAAAGTAGCAGTTCACGCCATCTGTAGTACAATACGCGGCTAATTTAAAGAGTCTACAGACAATGAATGAAAATACCATGCAGCGGTGAATACCCAGATAGCACCGGACGTCCCATGGACGTCCATTTTATGTCCAGTTTACGTCCAAACGTCCGACGTCCGTTGTCGTACGTCCTTAAGACGTCCATGGGACGTAAATTTTGTACGTCCCAGGAACGTCCGCCCGGAACGTCTTACGAACGTCCATAGGACCTAAATTTTGTACGTCCCAGGGATGTCCGCTCTGAACTTTCTAGATTTAGGGAAAAATACTTTTTTCATACAAAATAAATATTATTTATTACTATTCTTTATAATATAATATTTATTCAATATGTAGAACAGAATATTTTTTTCCGAATATAAAATACACTATTTACAATTGTAAATTAATATTAATTAATTAATTAATATTATTATTCCAGATAGCACCGGACTTAATATTAGGAGTACAATATTTTTTGCACATATGAGATATGATATATATGTAATATTTTTTAATTTCAAAAGAAGGAATTGTATTTTAAAAAGTATCCGAATATTAATGCGAGTCACTATATAAGCCTAAAATATGAATCGGTTTAGCAAAGTCGTTTATGGGTAAGTGAGGAAGCAGGTTGCGGGGTTGTAGTTCCGAAAATCGTGAGTCGAATCCCGTCGGAGGTAAATAAAAATTGAAAGATTTTGTTGGTCGTTTTTCATGAAATACAGTTACAAGAAATAAATACAGTTAATTAAAATCTACCAACAAATAAAAGAAAATATATAAAATTAAAATTTAATTTTTTTTTAAATCTCAATTTTTACAGAGAACGTTCTGGGAATGTCCACATCGGACGTCCCAGGGACGTACATAGAATGTCCACGGCGGACGTCCCAGGGACGTCCTGCGATGTAACTGGGACGTTCCAGGGACGTTCACAGGACGTTCATAAGACGTCCCTGTGCTATCTGGGTAGATATCCTTTTCTTCGAGTTTGGAATTTCTTCGATCGAATCACCTCAAAAGGATCTCCGATCTCCATATTCTGTTCTACAATCTCGCCGCTATATTTGCATTGTCGATCTCTCCTAATTTGAACTGCATTCCACGAAACCTGTTCGAGCTGTAGACAATTTACGATCGAATTTCTGTCTCCTAATTTATTCCTCTTTTGTTCTTCTACTTTTCTCGCCCTTATCGCGCGTATAAAGATCAATTTTCAGATTTGAAAATAGTTGGAAATAGTTTGGAATAGTTTGAACAATTGCGAGGTGCAGCTTTATATCTAAATCTAATCTTAAGTTTGTTATTCCCTGGATTTATTCAATGGAGGATTTTAACAAAATTTCACTTGATTGTTCTTTGATTAAATATGTTGTAATAAAAGATTTTTTTGTTTTATTTGTAAGTAATATATATGTAAATGAGAAGTTGGTTTCCCGCAGTGATGGACAAAACCCTAGGCTTTGAATAAATCTGAAGTTTGCCGATGTGTTTGTCTCGTTTCTTTCTCTGGAAAATGTTCGAAAGACGAAACGAGACAAACATATCGGCACACTTCAGATTTATTCGAAACCTAGGATTTTGCCCATCACTGGTTTCCCGTTTAGTTAGAGTCCGTGTGTGGCGTATGATTGGTAGCCATGTGAGGCGTAGGGTTGGTGGCAGTGATGGGCAAAACCCTAGGCTTCGAATAAATTTGAAGTTTGCTGATCTGTCTATCTCCTTTCCTCTTTTGAAAATTTTCCAAAGAAGGAAACACTGAGCTCTATCCTAACTGGAGCGTGAACTCCTGTAAGAAGAAGTAGAGGCGACGGAGGTCCGAGAAAAATGTAAAATGGGTGGTTCCGGTATTATCCTATAGCAAATTTATTTGTAGAGGGGGAACAAACGTACGTCGTAACATAACCTAGCCGAGCATCGCTGAGCATTGTCGAGTGAGTTACTTTCAGATTCTTCTTCGCATAAAATTGGATAAATACAATATAAATTGAATTGTGACAAATAATAAAATTTAGTTCTATACCAAATTGTATATATTTGTATGATCTAAATTATGGTATGTAAATTATGTCTACTATTTCATTATTATGTCATTATTATTAATGTTTTTCTCGTTTTATATATAAATAAAAAGGAAATAAAGTTCAAATCTGTACATAATTAATCTGTAAATAATTCCTAGAGTGCCGCAAAATTCAAACAAAGGAGTCTGTTCTAGAGATGGCGTGCAAAATCACTAACCGTTATTTATCACAGTGATTACGATGCATTTACATTTAGGCTGAAGATTCTAACAACGCGTGCAAGGAACGGTTATGTTCTTCACCAATCAGAAGCGATCACAAGAAATCACGAATCACTGTGAAAAATCGCCGTGATTAGCAACGAACGTGATCGAATCACGAGTGATTCACAAGTAGCAGTTCTAGCCATCTCTAGTTAGGATAGAGCTCAATGAAAAAAAAACGAGACAAACATATCGGCAAACTTCAGATTTATTCGAAGCCTAGGGTTTCGCCCATCTCTGGTTGGTAGCCATGTGAGGCGTATGGTTGGTAGCCGTGGAAGGTACGTTGCGAGCGAGAGAGTAGATTCAGCGGATAAAAGTGGATTGTGTATATTTAGTAAATTTTGATTCTCCTAAATTCTTTTAGTGATAATTTTATATTTAGTTTGTTCCTGATGTAATTAATGACTTCAAAAACCAATTTCATAGGTAATATCATTTCATTGTATATTGCATGTTAGTATCATAATCTAATGCAGCGTTTTCCAAACTGGGAGGCGCGGACTAGTCTAAAGGGAGCCGCGAAAATTAGTCACAGTGAACAATTTTTCAAATTACAATAATAAAATATCGTTTTCCATTGGTTTGATATGAATAAATTTTATAAGAGTAAAAATGTTTGTGTTTTTATTTTATGAAATCTTCGGGGGGGAGGCGC